TCTAACCTAAATCGAATAGGGGAATGAAGAACCTTTTACTACTTCTTCAACGCAGACAGTATCACCAGCTAGCAATGTCCAGCTGTCTTACTGTGCACAACCCTTTCGGCTCACACGCCTTCCAGGCGATGTATTCGGAGTTCAAAGCCTGAAAGAGACAATAAATATGTACTACTAGTCATATAGGTCCCGTTAGGCTCCCTGGTTGGGGACCTCGGGATGATTGTAACCGATGATTAGAAACACTGAGTGATATAGCTGGGTGTCGTAAACAGTGGCGTTCGTGAATCTTCTCAATTTCTCTGCCTCATTAGTCCACTGAACTTTTCAATTTTCTCTTCGACCCTACTTTCAACTTTTCTGTTTTCCTCCTATTGTTCACCCAAATGGGCAAACAAAAGCAATGCACGAAAATGCATGCCTAATGGTTATTTAAACTGAACTGAACTGGACTACTGGTGAGCTCAAATAAGAACGAACCTTGACTTCCAACAGAAACAGAACTACATAAAACTGTACTGTTACCCGTACCTCAGTCATCAATTAGGTACCCATTAGCAGAACGCACACCACCAAATACCCAAGAGTTACCATCAAGAGCAATCTACGGCGGTCCTTCCATGTGTTAGGCTGTGCTGGAAAACTGCATCGCTTTTCCCTTCAAATACGCAAGTTACGACAATTTAGAGTGAAGCATTCAGTCATGTTTTTTTGTTTCTCAGTGCATTTTTATTGCCATACATTATTGTTCGACGGTTATTACACCTGACCTACCTAAAAAGGATTTCATTACTATTCGCAGCTATTTGGCAATCATTAGCCGTGTTTCTCTTATAACAATGGACACTTTAATCACAAAATTGTGTGATTTTAATTTTACCTCATGTGAGAATTTCGCCCGTAAGAAAGTTGACGACCCTGGTCATCTGCCTAGTCCCGACTCATCTTTCTGTAGTTTCCACGCAACAACCCGATCCGATTATCGTTGATTATCCATTCGCCTAAACATTTTGCGTAATCCAAAAGTATCCTATTTGGCTCGTATTCTGACAAGATCCTAAAGGAATTAACTTTAAATCTACAGAGATGACTTGTTTCTTCTAAGCTTTCTCACTGTTGTATATATCTGTTCCTAACTTTTCCATCCCATTGTAACGATAAACACATATTTTCACCAAAATGTAGGCATAGTTGCCTGAAAAAGTCATTACAATACAATGCAATACTGTTGTGTTTATTTACCGGACATAAACAGTGACCGATGCCCTGATATGGATCTACGATTATGTTTAACAATGAAGAACCGAGGCTAATGAGAACCAAACTTGATTCATGTGCTTCTCAAGTACATCAATGATTGGACAAATAGGGAACTATGCGGGGAGAATTTTGAAGAACAGTTGGTCAGAATCAATAATAAATCAATTGCACAGTCGTAAGGATGTTTGCCATGGCGAGTTAATCAAAAGCGGCAAAACTGACAAATCTACAAATAGGTACACTCACCGTAATTGTAGCATTCTCAGAAAATACAAGAATCATGTGGTTGTACGTTCGGGTTATCTTGCATCTCAGAAATTCTGCAACATCACCGGCAATGCAGAGTTTCGTAATTTGCTATAGTCCCATTGTACAGTGAAATTTTATCCAAATAGGATTTTGCCGTGACTAACCTTTATATGACATTCTCTTTCTAGTTTCCAATGGTCATGATCGATTGTATATAGGAATTCATTGCCAATCACAAGGTGTCTAAACGAGGTTCCCTTTTCAACATTTCTATACAGGCAATCTGCCCAGAAAATAATAGACTGATATTCTCGTTCACTCATAGACAGACGAAGAAGTTTTTCTATCGCTGGGCTTCTCCAAGGCATTTGATTGAGTAAATAAAAATTATGATCTGGAATAAAGCAATCGGTTTACAAATGAAAGTTAACCGTTTAAATATTCGATCACATTCCAGTGGAAGAATGAACTGAGCACTGAACAGAGTCAGTTTTTTAACTTTATTTGAAGAAAATCCCAAACATTTCGGTTAATATCTTGCAACTTCCTTTAGAATATGCCAGCTATCGTCGTTAGAAAATAAAATCACAATAATGTGTTCATGGTTGCAAAGCTGGTAAAAAATCACAAATGATTGCCATGAGGCACTATTTCCAATGTTAAATTGAAACAGAAATTCTGAGCAAAGTCACAGTATCCAACGCAAAATGCGTTCTTCCTGAGTTAACAGAGCTATAGCGCTCATACAAACGATTACTTAAAAAAGCACATTCTCAGATCATGCGTTCTCGTACCATTGACATCCAAAAAGTAAAAAGCAGCTGCATTTCTCCTATCACTCCATTAATTTACAGTTCGTTCCCCTTCTCCAACAATTCAAATCTTACAAAGCAAGTAGGAATGTTCCTATTAACAAAATTTGAGTCTAATTCACACTAGTTTGTGCTGAACTGGGACAAATCTGCAACAATCGTGTCTGGTACTCAAACGAATCGTGGTACCAGCACCTTACACAAATAGAAACTATGTTGCTCGAGGACATAATCAGATTTTTCATGATTGGAGTCAATGCATAAAGTGAAAAAATGAAACTTATAGCTGAATAAGACAATATTGCAAACCGTGTAGCTCCCACCTTTCTAATGAACGTACTTGTCCCAGCTTTTCTTCGAGCGCTTAATAGAAAGAATACTCTACGCTGCAATTGGATGACCACAGCCAAATTTGAGTTTTCCGATCGGTTTGTAACGACTTCTTGCGTCAAAAGCATACTGATTATACAATTCTTTATTTAAGCAAAAAAATGATTGCATCGGTCGTTAGCACATAATTACATAAAATGAGAGGAAATCGTTTAGATTGTAGATATCCGTATATTCTATTAGGAAAAATAATATAGTCAAAATATACAAGGTTAATTTTATGATTGATTTTTTCGTGCATAGAGTATATAAAACGTGGACTGAAGAGCTTGGAAGCACTGTACAACCGTTTTGATCAGTTTGGGTCTCACCAACTGTGTGAATCCATCGACCCATCTGTGGGTCGAACCCGGGAACTCACACGTAGCGTAACGCTTGGCAACCGCGCCAGTAATATTTTATTGTGAATGCTTGTACCTCACTGAACCTTTTTGGTTCATGGCGTTTTAGTTGCTTTGCATTGCATATTTCATTTTAACCCTGATCCACGGAGAATCTGTCTGCCAGTGTTTCCTTGCCATCCGATGTCACGGTGATTACGCCTTCCTTCCGCCGCTGCCCACCATCGTTCATCGTCCGCAAAGCCTCGTAACGTTTCCGCTGTGAGAATACAAGCCGATGGACATTCTGTCACACATCTTTGTTCATTCCGCTGCGTTGCGAGAGCCCGGAGTATGTTCACATTGCAGTAGAACTCAGGCATACTGCCCGCTTGACCACTGGGAAGCTGATCAGATAGTTTTTCGTTTTGTCTATACACGATATAGCACAACCAACCTTTGCAAGCTTGTTGCGGGTATCTTCATCTTCTCTTCGTCTCAACACCAGCCTCTTGGGTTATGATACTTCTAGAAACATTCTGAAATTCACTGCTTAACTAAATTCACCATATAATCTTATCACCTTTCCATTGCTTTTACTTAACAAGACTATCTGTCAATGGTTTTGGAGTATTGCAATGAATTTGGGAGTCTTAGACAAATATCAAGTGACAGCTGTTTCTTTTTTGTAAATTTGAAAACTTTTTGGAAGATATTGGTTTGTTTTTTCGTGTGTAGAACCTATGAACTGACGAACACCACGGTCTGCCTGTTGGGATCTTGTGTAGATCTCATTCCTTAGGAATCGGTTGATTCCGTATATGTCAATGCATTTTTGGACGCGATGGATGTTTTGTGTGTACTGGATTAAAAATAGCACCGGGCAGCTGTTTTATCCTGGTTGGGATTCAGCAACAGTATTTGCTGTTCTTTAGGCTCCGTATTGTTATTAGAACCGTGAAACTTCGTGTTGGGAACTGAATCCCTTATCCCTGAGCTGAAAGGTTGACTTTCCCAGGAGCGAATGGTAATATGGTTTAAAGTTGTTCTTGTGATTTCCCGAGCGAATCCTCAGACACAGAGACCGTTTATTGTTGTTTTTTGTAGGTCTCAATTCAAATGGAATTTAATGAATCCCGAAATTCTTTTATACATCGCTTTAATACTGCGAAAATGAAGTTAGCTTGAGACACAAGTTTGAATGAATAGCTTGAATATTTTATGTACATGTACATGCCTACACCCATGAAATACTCCTGTTTTATGCTGCATACAATAACTATAATACAATTATTTTCCTTGTATTTTATTTCACAAGCAAAGTTCAGAAATTGGAGTGGCTTGCATTCTCTCAGGCGCTACCTGGGGACACAGCAGAGGAAGATTTGGGTGACAGTGGTGGTGAGATATGAACACCCAATCTCCGGGTCGATATGATGATGACCGCGACCGCCATATACTGTAATCTCCCACTAAATCCCATTTGTAGGTAATACTTGAGGATATTTGGTTGGATTAGCGTTAGACTAAAATGTGCAATCAAAATTTTCGAAACTATATTCATCCATTCAAGCTTTTAAAAGCCTGAATTTCTGAAATCATTCAGTGGAAGGCAGTCAAATTCACTGACTCATCGACTAGCCCGTACAGCTCACATAAGTGACATGTTTAAAGGGTGAACTTCTACCCGGTCAAATGTTACTGTAGGAGTACGAGATACAGGCTACACCAAGGGTCGCATCACTAGATCACAGTATCTCCGCAATCAGGTTGTGATGCGCCCTGTGTGCGGAAAATTCGTGACCATGGTAGCATGGACTAATCGATTTACTCACATAGGTTGGACGTGAGCAAGTGAAAGCCAAATGCTGTCTCAGTGACTAGGCTGATAATTTGCATTGATCTCGGGTGAATGAGATGGTACACTGTACCTGATTCTTAAGGTTGGTTCAAACTTCACCTGGACAACTGTCTACGTGAGCCAGAATAGTGCTTCTTACGATAACTACCGTGCTGAATCCACCTTAGACAGTGCACAATAAGTCGTTCGTTAGGCTGTCTCGCCATTCCACCGGCTTCTGTTGCTTTGAGATCACAAAGAAACGAAATAGTAATCGTGAATAAAGCCAGCATAAGTTAATTGTATTCTTTGAATGTTCTATCCATTAGTTAGCTTGTGAACATCTCAAACATGCTGTATTTAAGGCTCCCTCCAGCTTCAAGCACCAAATGTTTTTTGATGGGATCAAACAGATCATCTCCTCTGAATGACCGTTTCGTAAGCAGCATTTTCTCGGAGTCCCTGAACGGGCTTGCATCTTAATCTTTATGCTGGGTATATTTCAACAACTTTTTCAGGGTCTTCAGCCCCCCTTGGAATGTTTTATTCTGAGCAATTTCATTTGCGAACGTAAACTCGGGGCATCTTTTTCCCGCAAGGCGAAGTATCAAATGAGGTGAACCTTGCCTTTTAAAAGAAGGAAGCTTTGGAGTTTGTGTACCGGCTGGACTATGCTTCTTTCGTATGTATTCTTCTTTCAACTGACTCACTGGTTGTCGTGTACATTTGTGATCTCAAGGAATACTAATTCGTTACCTTTCTCTGTTCTCGAGTTGAAGCCAATAAATTTATCCCTTGATTTACAGTTGAGGTCCACATACACCATTATTTTGATAGGTCATGTGATTTTAAATTGATGATAATAGTTAATCACTTTCCCCATCGTGTTTGTGGTTATTTACTTGAAATAAATCAAAATTTTATGTTGAAATTGTGAAAAGTTCTGTAGCCTCAATGGAATCTGAACCCACGCATGGACGCCGCTTACACTTTTGTACAGCGCACACTCTACCAGCTGAGCTACGAAGTCACACCGACTGCACTGATCTTTTTACATTCGAATTACCCATCCAACTTACAGAGATAGTCAACTTACATGCTAACTGGTGGTTGTCATATGCCTTTGTAAGTTGGATGGGTAATCTGAAGGTGAAAAAGGTCAGTGCTATCGGTGTGACCTCGTACTTCAGTTAGTAGAGTGTGCGCTGTACAAAATAGTAAGCGGCGTCCATGTGTGGGTTCGAATCCCACCGAGGCTTCTGAACTTTTCAAAATTTCAACATAACCCTTCAATGTGCCAAACAACCATATGAACAAAAACCAAAATTTCTAAGCATCATATTTGCTTGCTATATACAAAATTTAGCTTACGATAAAAACGCGATTCGTTGAAATCAGCGACACACAAGTGGTTTCCTAAACTGCATATAGTTAAGAATTCTGGAGCAGTTAATTTAGTCAGAAGAAAATAGATCAAATGTTTAGTTATTGGGACCATCCGTCTAGCTGGAATTAAATATAAGCAAGACAGTGGTCCAATTTTACTCCTTGCTAACCTATTCTAATCTCATGGTGAACCTGATAGTTCACAAATGAAGCATGAAGTGCAAAGCTCAGGAGCACTAGATAGCTATTTTTACCTGGTTCAT